TTCACATATTAAGCAAATATCCTGTGAAAATTTAGTTATGCTGCCGCCAGCCAGTCACTTAGAACGCCTGAGCGCTGGCCGCACATCAAACATTTCAAAGCAGCGGCGTACCAGCCGTTGCACTTGAGATTTTCCGGCACGCTCAGGTTGCAGGTCCTTTGTATACACAGGCAACTGTGCGTGGCTTTGTTTGTGTGCCTTTTCGACAGCCTTAAATAGCGATGGACTGCTTTTTAATGATGCAGAAAATCGCTATATTTGCTTTGTCTGCCGACAGCGTCTAGCAAGCGCGTTCGGAGTTATTTAAATATCCATGCAACACACACACATACACTCATTTGGGTGTATAAATGCCTATGTCAATTGCTCTAAATAAAGCAATTCAAGCTGTCATACATCTATATTCTCATAATTGTTGTTTGTGCGCTTGTGCAACGCAGCGGTACAGCTGTTTGTTGTCGTTGCACTCTGCTGCATATTTATTTGTTGTGCTCGTTTTTTGCCTATCTGTTAGCTTAGCCAACTAAGCGTGTAATATGTATACATGCATATATGTGTGTATGTGTGTAACTGCGTTTGCGTCTTCAATTCTTTTTTCTTTTGCATTTTACGCTTCTCTCCATTGTCCGTCCGCTTCTCGGTAATTTGATATGAATTTTCCTTTTTTCGCCACATTGACTTTTTCTGCAAGATGAACTCCGATTAATTGATGCAGGCAATTGAGCAGATGTAATAAACAAAACGCAGGTATACATGTGCACATGAGTCGTTTGTTTTACAAGACTTGTCTTCGGCAATAAGCTGTATCCCCAATTGGCAATTTAAATCTTCTCCTCAAGTCCTTCACGTGTAACACTATACGGGGCACTTTAGATTCACCGGCGATAAGCATCCATGTTGCGCTACCGGTAAACAATACGACTACTTCCTTCCTTTTATGTCAACCGTATGACTTTTTCGCTAAAATAGACATTTCTCAAGCTGACAGATAGTGCATTCAAATGACATTCTAGTAGTTGACAGGAAATAAAATAAGAAAAGTTCTGCAGCCCGTAATTCCATGACAATCTATCATTGTTACACAAATTATGAATGATTTGAAAGAGTATTGCGACCCTACGAACTCTCTCATGAAAGCAGAGTTGCATTTTATTTACTGAGAAATCGGTCTCGGATAGGAGTCTTCAAGTCAAAGTGCATGACAACATATTTTGAAACATTATAGAATATAAAAACGCTGCTTTTTATTTCCACAAAGCTTTTTCACATCAAAAGTATTGATCGTAGGACAACCGTTATGAGCAAAAAGTAGTTTTTGCTTTCAAAACTATTTAAACTAGGATCGAAGTGCCGTTATTAACATCAAATAATCATGACTTAGAAGAATCTTACTATCTACGAAAGTTTCTATTTTCCACAGCGACTTAGATTTTATCTGCTTTGTAAAGGATCATTACTTGGTACAACACATTGAGAATAATTTGCCAACAAGTTTTCTGCGAGTTTACCATTTTTAGTCAACTCACAGCCTTTGGTAACAAGACGCAAACTCATTCTAAACTATGTATGCTAATAAATAAAATATGATATACCAACCTATTAGAGAACTTTTGGAGCTATGGACCAAGCTTCCAGGAACACATTAAGGAAACCAAAGTTATTCTAAAGTGAAATTTTAAGAGTATTTCTTTTTAAGAGTTATACTTTGACTCAATCCCATCGACGAAATCCTGTTAAAACTCTTCAAAACTAATAAATATCATAAAGTCAGTAGCTAGGTCGTTCTTTTGCTACACTCGCCTAAACTGTAACCATCTCAGCCATTAATGCGCGTGTTTAGTAATTCATAAGACTTAAGAGCTGCAGTCAAATACGCGAAAGTGCGAAGCAATTTCCAGCACTCAACGGCTACGTTTCAATTTTATGAATATTACTCAAAATGAGCTTCTAATGCTTTCCGAGCCTTTATGCCTTTATGTGTGCGGCTTTTAACTGCAGTCGCGATTCACGGAAAAGAAGTAGCAAATGTAAATGTACGCTCTGCGCTTGCAGCCGCTTCATGCAACATTTAGCAAATTGCTGCGCCGTCGATCCCATGCACTGGCGCATACCTAATTGCAGCAACAAAGTCAGCAAATTATGAGCGACTTTTAAAAGCTTCAGCAGCGAGTGAAAGTCGAGTAAGTAATAAGGAAATGGCGAGCAGTAAAATCATAAGAGTAACGGCCAAGGAAGGAAGTGTGGCAGGCTTGCAGGCATGCTACGTGAAAACGGCGTTGCAGCGGCTGTGTAGGGTAGGTTATGGCGCGGAAGGAATACTTAGACGCGTGCAAGCAAATAATAGCAAAAAACTAATTGGGTTAACTTGCTAAGTTGGCGAGCTTATCGGTAAGGAGAATTGCTTGAAAGCGTGCTACTTTGAGGTTAAATTATTTTAGATGTTTTTTTTTTTACAAAGTCTTCGTCCACTCAAATGCACTTGCCATCTTATTATGCGCATACATGCAACTATTTGTTGTTGCGCGTCCTCCAACAGTTGGCCGCTTAAAGTAGTCTGCGTGTTGCCTAAGTAGGCGCAAAACGAAATATTCCGCTTGTTTTGCATATTTCAACATTTCGCCCACTCTGCGGGCGTGTTTGGCGCCTGGTTGCCACTATCGTCCTGCTGCCGTCAATTGTTGTGATTTTCTTTTCCATTAACCTTTCCAACACTCAGGTGCATATGTTGCCTGTGGCACGTGGCATGTGATGAAAAGTCACTTGCGTGTCAACGTCACGGCGCAACGTTATCGCCTTTGTGTTAGTTGTTGCCGCTGTCGCTGTTAGCGTTGGCCATTGAAATTAGCATTTCAGTTAGTGAGCTGCTAAAAGGCGTCCATTACTTGTGCCACTTTTCAACGGTCGTATAAACAAATAATATGCAGACTACTTTTAAATATATGTATACAAATCCTCGCAAATGCCGTGCATATTTTTCAGCTTTTTGTTTTAGAATGCGGCATGTGCGTATGTAGCAGAATTCAATTATGTATACATATAGCGTTTTTTGCACAATTTCACACACCCATCAACATGTATCCTTCATAATTTATGACCCATTTGTGTCGCCGTATTTCATAAATTAACCAAATGACCAAATTACTGCATGCAATTAAAAAGAAAACACTTTGGTTGAAGACCCTGCTGAGTATGGTGTGTTATAGTTGCCTACACTCAAGTGATTTAGAAAACTTTAGACTTTCATAGACGTAGGAGAAGTTTATAGTTTACTATCCATCGACAGCGTATAATTTCCTGTATGTTCTAGCGTTATATAACAAACTGAACTTATGGAACACTAAATACTTAGAGTTTTATAACAAACTGAACTTATGGAACACTAAATACTTAGAGTTTTATGGCAAACTGAACTTATGGAACACTAAATATTTAATAAGTTACGGGTAGAACTCTTTTCTGTAGAAAATTTTTGAAGGAAGCACTGGATAATGGATGCGGTAACCGTTACCTTTTAAAATATTTTTTTCGATAGTTTTCTATTAAAATTATGTAAAAATTATTATAAATTGATGAAGAAATAAATAACCAACTGCAGGACCTTCACTTTCCAAAAATATCACAAAATACAAAGCTTTCTCATTGAGTCAAAATTGTGAAGTAATGAGATAATCTACTTATTCGGCTACTTTCATTTATTTAAACTCTAGCTATTTCATATTTTTCCGGTCACAGTTGTCTAGGCAAACAAAATTTTAATTTTATTAATAAATTGTATGTCAAAGAAAATGAAAAATTTTCAATTATAAATCATAAAATAATAAAAAAAAAATTTTTTATCTTGAAAAAATAAAAAACAAATTCTAGTGGTTCAACAAAATCACCTGTGTTTATTAGCTTGTCATTGTCAAAACAGCAACAAAACCATATCTACAGAATGTCTGTCCTGCAATTCTTGAAACGTTCCGTAAATCTCAAACAGCCTACAATGAAGCTTTTAGGTGCGCGACACAAAGTTTATCACAGGACTAATAGAGAGCACAAGAAAAGTATACGTGACTACGATGACGGCTACTATTACCGCAATGGTGAAGAGCAATATGCGCAAACGCTACGCAATCGGCAGGCCGAGATGTTGCGCTTCGATGATATTTACTACAAACTGAGCCGCAACAGACGCAAGTTCAATCAAACCCATATAGACTTTCCGAATTGCACCTGTGCTGAGGACGTGAAAGAGTATGAGAAAATCAAAGGAAAACAACCGCTACCAGAGACCGCTAGCCCTGTCAAGGATATCTATCGCCTATACAGTATGTGAAAATATAAATCGAACGACTGTCGCGTTGGATTAGAGATGGTTTATATTGCAGTAGAGCGCGCTCTCCAACATATAAGTTTGGTTAGAGCTAAGTTTTTATTAAATAATAGCGTTAGGCTTTATTGAATAAAAAATCGAAAAAGTTTATATGCAAATTCACTATTAATTTTCAAATCAACATTTTTAATAAAACTTATTTAAAGTAATATAAAAATTCTAAATAAATGTAATTAATTAAAATGCATTTTCAATTTGTAGTTTCTGGTTTTGGAGTTTATAATAGACAGAGGAAACAGTAACTTGTGGTTGAAAGTAACTTTTGATGATCACAAGATGTTTGGCCAAATTTACATTCCACTTTTAATGTGATTGATATTATCCGACTATTTGAGTGCCTTACAAGCTTTAAAACTGACTCAGAAATAGACTCAAAGGCTTATATTAGCAGCGGAGAGTCGTCGATCGCTAATTAAATAGTCGACCGACTAGTAATCATGAAAAATAAATTACTATAAAAATATAGGCAGACAACTAGTGTTTCAAAATAAAGTGTGTCTTTCGTAACTAGCAGTTGGGAAGCTGCCACGAATTCAAATACCAATACATTTTAATTTTAGTACATATTTTAGTCTAATGAGTGTAGCTCTTTAAGTAAATAACCTTTCCAAGCTGCACCAGCAAAAACGCAATTTTTGAAAATATTACATCTTGTAGCAACCTTTGAAAAAATGGGTTCTTTCAACTCATTTGTAATAATCTTAAAAAGAAAATATTTAAAAAAATCTATTCTTTAAAGCTTAATTTCACTTTATTCTAAATTTAAGGCAACAAAAAAAAAAAAAAATTAAAACTTTATAAAACTACTAAATTCTAAATTCACTAATTAATTTGACACACACTTAAGGGTTTTCCATACGTGCAACAAATATTCGCTATGCTAAGTTTAAAAACGCTTGCTTTGGCGCTGACCTCATCGAAAATATCGCTAATCTGCGCACAACGTCTTACTTCCACCGATGCACCTGAGTTAGTACTGGGCTGCCGCCCACCACCTGCCAAGAAATCGGATAAACATCCTGCGCGCGATCTTTGCAAATTCATTGAGCCGCGGTGTGCCGAAGAGAAAATGAAAGATGTCACATGTAAAAAACGTGAGTTCCCACCACACTTCAACATCGAGGAATGCTGTCCGCCCTGCAGAGATGTTTTACCGCGTTTCGACGATCTCTACTATCAGCCGTCAGACAAAGAGAAACGTAAATACCAGCAAACCTGGTCCGAGTGTCCGCGCTTGTTTATTATACCGCGAAAAATCTGCTGCACCGAACATGTCGATGTACCAAAGATGGAGAAGCGAGTGTTCAAACGTGATGAAGATCAATTCAATAATTTCACCGTCAAAACATGTAGAAATAATTCACAATCGCGTTGCGCCAAAATTACATGGCCCGGTTGCCGCATGGGCAGAGTACCGCCCAAATGTTTTGTCATTAAACATAGTAGCGGCTGCTTGAAGGTATGCACACCCTACCCGAGCTATTCGGAGTGCAAACGTCCGAAACCGAAATCCTTGCCACCGGTCGAATGCGCTTGCCTTAAGGCTGGACCGTGCATCCACAATTGATTGTCACAGTGCTGGACGTTGCGTCCTTAACTAAACTACATGTGTATAGTTGATTGTAACTTATATTGATGCTGATTTGTGTAGGAGCGTCATTAAGCAATGAACTTAAAATTCAAGCAACTAAGTGCAATCAATCCTGCATCTTATTCAATGTAAGTGAGGAAATCAACACTGAAGCTGTGCTGGATTGAAAGCGCTTTTTTGCTTTCGAATGAAGTTCAAAACTTGATCTCTTTTCGGTGATTTCGGCTATTAAAAGCTGTGATAGTGTAAAAATTCTACTTGATGATAAAATAAAATTTTCGTATTTGGTATTTGTGGGTTTTTTCATATTCACATTCTACGCTATGTGTTGTTTAGCTTCTTATACTTAACAAATCTAATTTGTGTGCTTACCAAAAAAGATCTTCAACTGCTACTGAGAGTGTTATTGGAGGCGTTTTTCAAGATCTAGACCAGCCACTAGGGTTAAGATTTCTCTGTAGGCGTGTAGCAGACGCTATGTACGCGCATTGTAGATCTCAAATTCACGAGAATATATTCTTGCCTCATTCAGTCATTTGATTTTTATTTGTAAACATACACGACCGGCATCGAACGCTTAATGTTGTACTAGTACTAATATACATACTAGGGTGGGTAAAAAAAACGAATATTCTTTTTTTTTTTTGCATGGTACTCTAAAAATAGGTTCTCCCATCTACCTCGCTCCAAGTATGAGCTCTTGCTTGTAACGGGAAGGTTCTCCAACTTACAGTTTTAATTTAAAAACTTATTTTTTTCATTATTAGTTTTTCATTCATGTTTGACGATGAATAACTCGCAAGCACGTAACTTAATCGAAAAATTACCGCCTCAAGTAAATTTCCAAAAAAAAACTATGATCTTTCCTATTCATAATTATTTTTTTTTCATTGCGTTATAAAATTCTTTAAAAAAATTTGGCTTAAAATAATCTAATTTCAACCGTTAATATCTTTTAAACGGTTAAGTTTACGAAAAAATCGTGAAAGATTATTTTATAGAACATTCAATTTCCAAAAAAACTTTGAAACGAGACATTTTTTCAAGTAGTTGGAAGCGAGATATGCATTTTTCTATCTGATAATAAGAAAACTATCAGGCATTATTATAAATAAATATACTTTCGAATCTGCTCGCGAGATCAAATCATTTCTGTTTCCCCTCCGCTCTCAAAAATCCCCTCCAAATAAGAACCAGTTCAGGTCAACCGCAAAAGCACACTTGCTTAACGACTAGAATGTATACATAAATGTTACCTCAGTAGCAAAATTTTAAAATTCTTTTCAATAATACTTCAAAAACAGAAAATTTAATTTAATTCGAAAATCTAAAGTTTATTTCAGTATCCCTTTAAAAACACACAGAAAAACAAACCCAAAAATACAAAATTATTTCTCTGATACCGCGAAATTCCAAATTCCAACGCTATTCCAATTTTCGACAAGCAGCTCTTACAAAAAACAACAACTATATAAATTTTGCAGAAGTTTTAGAAACGAAGAGAAATGACGCTCTTTCGTGCATTTGGCAATCAGCTTTTGCAAAGCCTCAAAACGCCAGCCTACTCCGCATGTCTGCCGCGTACAATGGCCAGCCAAAAAAAACATCCAGGCTATCGTTCACAGTGCGCAACTGACGATCCAAAATGTGGCGAGAAGAAGCTCGAAGCAAAGAAAGACAGCGGCGAATGCGATAAGAAAGAAAAGAAAAAGACGTCCATGTGGTTAAACCCGGAGTGTTGTCTGGACATATGTCCAGATGTCTTGCCGCGTTTCGATGATCTTTACTATAAAGCCTCCGACAAGGCCAAACGCAAATACACGCGCACCTGGAACGAATGTCCAGATATAAAAATAGCACCGCGAAAGATTTGCTGTTTTGATAATATCTCCTTGCCACCATTAGAACGACGCAGAAAACGTAGTGATCAGCAAAAAACGGCATGTCCCGTTCCGACTGCTGAGCAAAAAGCCAGCTGCTCGATAAAATCGAATAAGCGCTGTATTAAAATTCGTTTACCCGGCTGCGGTGCTGTACGTGAACCACCGAAATGTTTCGTCATCAAACACTCAGCTAAATGCCGTAAGATTTGCACACCATATCCAGCATATTCAGAATGTTCGCGACCTAAACCGAAACCGCGTCCGCCAATCGAATGCAATTGCTTGGTCGTGGGTCCACTCTGTGGGCTACATTAGTCGCGAGTATGTGCAAAATAGTCACGGTGTTGCCAGTGTGTAAGGCTACGTTTTATGAAGCTGACTATATGTTGGTGTATTGCATAACTTCATTCAAAGTTTCAGCTTTCAGTTTCGTGCTTGAAGCTGGTCATGATATTGAAAGCTGAAATTATTGAAAAAGCTTATTTAGTTGAAAAAAAAGCGAAAAGCTTTTATAATAAATATTGTTGAAAACAAGACTAGCCATTCCTTGCATTCGAAAACCTATACAATTCTACTTATTTCGAAAATAAAATTTTTATGTTGAAAATCGTAAAATTAAAAAAAAAATCGAAATTAATAAAGCTAAAAGTAACACAAAACACTAATCTCGAAGCTTGTTTTACTAAACGAATGTGCGTAACTCGTTGATTTCCAGAATATGTAAGTGATTTTCACACTCATCGATTTCTACCGATGTCTGTATCAATTTTGAGAGAGAGAGAGAGTGCTTGGTGCTGCATGGCTCTCTCCTGATAAACTTTACGGAGCTTTTACAAGTGTGCAGATGATGTAAGTTCAAGGAAATATTACCTGATAATAGTCTACCAGAATACAGCCATACCATCTATCACAAAATCACTTCCAAAATGTGAAAATTGCGGTATATCTTCGAGTGGCAATAGACAGTTTTCAGCTCACAGTTGAGTAGGCGCTGATTTTGCCTTTCTGACAGCACTTAAGAAAAACTTAAGTAAATACTGCTACACTTCGCAGACATATTCTGTTGAAAACTTCAAAGAGAGCGGCAATTTAGACGCCCGAAATAGAACTCTTCGTATATTTTGAGAAAAACGCAAGACATATTTGGAACGCGAAATGAATTTTGACAGCTCGGCTTTCAAAGGCGGTGCAGCAGAATAGAAAGTTACAGTAAATAGATAATTTACGCTAAAATTTGTACGAAAACAATGAGACAAAAAGCGAGTGTACATATATACATACCTTACATACTTAGGGTTTTTGGAAACAACAAATTCTGAAGAAAAGCGAAAGATACTTGCAACACAGCAGACGTGAAGTAAAGAATTCTTGCTAATGCGGAGCGTGTAAGAAAGCGTATATGTGTGTAAGCACCAGCGTAAGCACGCTCGTATGCGTCTTAAAAGTAACTAAGTACGCGTGCACATATTTCTACGCATCTGTCTGCACCTAGTGCAACTGACAGCCAGCCTGTCTGCTGTTGAAGTGTCTGCCACACAAAGTGTTGAAATGCAAGCAGAAACAACAGCAACAACAACTGGCCAGAGCGGTCGGTGTGTAGCGTGGGGGCATCGCTGCTGACGAGTGATGCGCTTCAGGCATATATACATACATAGGTACACACATATACACATATGTGTGTGTGCACTTGAAAGTTTTGTTGCATGTGTTGGCAAGCTTCGTCAGGGGCGAGCAATGGTTGCATGTTGCATGGAACAGCGGCGGTTGGCAATTTTTGTATAATTTCGGCAACAGCTAAAACAACAACAACAACAACCGCACGCATGGCTTTGCAGCACAACAACAACAACAAAAAAGTGAAAAATTGTATTTCGACGCATTTGGCATTTCATTTGAAATCCAACAAACACACAACAACTCAAGTGGTTTGTCAGCAACATTTCAAACAAAGCGACGACACATCACAGCGCACAGCAAAACGGCCGAAAACTAGTGAAAAGTGTCCAAGTAACCGAAAAAACTGCATAAGAGAAGTCCGAAAACCAACTTGAAGTTCCATTTTTTCTCCGCTTTTCTGTGAATAAAATGCGTCGTTGTTTGGGGTCAAAAAGACAAAGCGAGTGGTAAATGGGCCGTTCGCACTGAGTAACAAATAGCCAGCAAACGCAGAAAAATTACAAAAACTACAAAAACGACAGCCGAAAAGGCCGAAAAGTTTCGCTGCATACGTCACACCATGCCACCCTGTCTCCGCTGCATAACAAGTACACGCACACACTCACACACACATACATATTTATCACAGAAAACAAATGTACTTCGTAGTCAAATGCTACACAGCCGCTAACTGCATGCTAGTTGTTGTTGCCACGCCATTGTTGTTGTCAACTCATCCAACACAATTTTTCGCCTTGGCCTTTGTTTTTCACTTGAAATTGTAGATACTTTTCGTTAACTCATTACTAGACACACACTTAATCATAAAGCTGCAAGAAAATGCGTCTTATTGTTGTTTTTTATGTCGGTCTTTTCTATTGCCGCTGTTGTTGTAGTTGGTAATGTCAGCTAAACTGACAACAAATTTCGTTTTGTAATGAATTGCGTTGGCCGCACTCAACACTACACACATACACACACACATCCGCATTCATGTAAACACCACCACTTAAACCCTTTCATCCAACTATCCACGCTGGTCACTCAAGTATGTTGTTAAAGTAATTTGTTGCTGCCACCAATAGCACAAAGTTGCTATTAATAAGTGCCCGTTGTTGTTGTTGTTGTTACTATTATTATTACAAACGTTTCTGTTGCAAAGTTGTCTTCAAAATTTGACTCCATAAAAATATATGTTTCCAAAAAACGCTGTTTTATAGGTAACCCAACAACGCATAGCCAAGTGTGAGTATATGTGCATGTGTGTGTGTGTTTGCCATCTTGAAAACTGTTGAATTTCTCACTTCTCATTTCGTTGTGCCTACATAGCATCTACCTCTTCTTTCTGTCGGCCTCAATTCATTCAACGTGTGGCATCAAGTGTTTCCAAGTGCTGAAGTGGTTCGCCGCGATCTTGTTTTTAGTTATGTACAGTGTCAATTTGTATATATCATGAATTTACCGTATTTGGGTTAGCCCACATAGATGGTGTATTGTCTAAAAAAATATGAGAAAATTTTGAAAATACTTCTTTTTACTAAGCTTCCATCGATTGGGGGCTTTACAACGACAAATAAAAGCGTTAGAGAAAAGCAGTAGCTTTCCTCGGTCTCCCAATGAGCGATCGAGTTCCCTCTATCAAAATTTCAATGATTTCTAATTGAGTCCAATAGGGATATGAGATTGATATGAGATATATGAAAGCTGCAACTACGAATTGTGATCAGAAATCTCAATAAATAGTGAGAGAAGGAATAGATTATATGGGATAAGATAAACATGTTTGATTTTGGTCTCTACTTCGATCAATAAGCTCATTAGAGGAAAACAGTAGCTTATGCCGCGAACAAAAGTAACTTGAACGAACGAGTTTTTACATGAACGTTCTCCCTGTAAAAATTTCAATGATTTCTAATTGAGTCCAATAGGGGTCAAAAGTGATACGAGGTATGTATATGAAAGCGAACTACGAATTATGGTCGGAAGTCTAAACAAGTAGTGAGAGAAGCAGTGGATGCTATGCGATCAGATAAACATGAGATCCACAGAGTAATTTCAACGTGCGAAGACTTTTTCCAACGAAGAGGATTTTTAAGAGAGCTTGTATCTTATTTGAGATTAAGCGTTGTTGCACGTATTTCATTGAATCAATTAGAATACGAAATAACGCGAGCTATAATGTCATTTTATGGTTCGGATAAATTTATTATATGACGCGATCCGAACATTAGTATCAGTAGACTACTAATTGGAAGCTAAATGTTTTATAATAAGTCAGAAAGAAAATCACAATTAAAGCAAGCTTCAGTCGCACAAGTTTTAGCGGCGGAGAAGTGTGCATATTTTTGTAAACGTCCAGAAATTCGATGAATAAAATATGCGAGACATGGCAACATGCATATTCATATTAAAAACCGATTGGCAATGCAAATATTATAGCGAATGTGCAAAGGTACGAGACTTTGGAATTTTTACAACTGAGGACGTGAGGCCACAACCGCCATTGTCATCGCCATCACCAACGAAAGCGACATAGAGCGCGAAGGCAATGAAACACTTGACGCATTTTAAAATGTGCCAATGACGCACGCTTTAACAACAGCATTCTGGGTACTGCAGCCAATGTGTGTATATATATATATACTGTGAATGGGTTTCCCGAAATGCTCCGTAGTATTACTTTGCATACTGAATATGCAGTTTTCATTTTCGTTTCTATGTATATGAGAATTGTTATTGTCTTTAACGCTAGCGTGTAGTAAATGCAAGCATTCGCTTTGCTCAAGTACCGGCTATGGCCTCCGAAAAGCCAAAGAGCTGGAGAAGGTTCTTATCGCGCTGAAAATTACCTTAGTGAAAAGCGGCGGGGAATGCGAAGTGCAGCCATAAAATTTTATATTATTCTTGCAATTAAAATTAATGATTTTATTAACCCTACGCAACACTGCTGCTGCTAAGGGCAGGACAGGATATTGCTTCACTGTTTATATAGATTTTACAAGTTTGCTAGATTGTGTGCAAAGAATATGCAAAGAATGTGCAAGAGCGCTAAAAACTTGAATATTCACTTTGTTGGAGACTGAAAACTTGGTTGCTATATGGGAAAGTAAGTTATTAAGCTTTGATTTTTTACTATTGAAGGCCTTCGGGAGATCATTATGGATCCACTTCTACCTGTGCGCGGAGTTTTGTCTGAATATAGCATCCTTAGACCTTGTTCGTGCGATGATAGATATAAAAAACATTTTTTATGATATATATGACTCAGCAGTGAGAGAGTCAACTTTCTCTTCACAGTTGCGATGTAAGACCATATTTATGGCTGAGGAGGACGTCTGTAGTTTCAAGCTTATGGATCCCATTAAATCTAAAGCTTAGTAGAAAGATAATTCTTCTTCAGAGACCCAGTCTATTTAAGATCAGATTCCACTCAAATGTAATAATTTAAATGTCTATTGCTCCTCAGCATTTTCTCTAAGTAATGCTGGTCTGACGCGACGCAATACCGACGTAAAAGAGATATCAGTGGGACCTAGCCTGTGTAGCGTGGGATCATCGGTTGAACAGTTAGTTGAGAAAATCTAAAATCTTTACACATAAACGCGTATGCTATACTTGGATCAACCAGATATTTCATGGAAGACCACAGCAGCGAAAAGTACTATACAAAATACACGTGTACTTCGTAGAAAGCCAAGTCCATTACAACCGTTGACACTTTTGACACTAAACAAATGTCAGCAACATTGTTGTTGTTGTGCTGTAATAAGTGCTGCCGCCACAACACATGCAAATGAAAAAGTAAACGAATAAAAAAAATGCCTGAAAATTTTAATAGAAGCGGAAGGGTTTACAAAAAGGCCGCCAAACGACGTGCGGATGATCTACAGTGGAAATCT